GGGGGGGGGGGCTGGGGTTGAGAACATTAAAGCTGAGCCTTTCTCAACTCGGAGAGATTTAATAGGAGTTAATCAGTTCAAGAGCGACAAAGCCAGCGTGGGAGTTTGAATCCGAATGGGATTCTCGATTCGTGTGAGCAGTCCCACGCCTCACGTCGCAGTTCAAACCATCTGGGAAAAAATTTCATTCAGGAGAAAATTCAATTCTCTCGCAATTAATACTTTCGACGATCAGAAATTGAAGGTTCAAGTAAAGATTGGGAATGAGAAAAAGATGGGTTCAAAGAACAAAGGCGAGAATTTTGATAATAAATGAAAAGAAATCCGAAGACTCACTGACATTTGCAAAAATGGTAAAATAGAATAATAGCGAAGTATAGTGAAATGCTTGGAGACTTCTCTCAGGAGGAAATGCGAGAAAAACAAGCCACTAAAGGCGGATCGAGGGGCAAAGCCTCACATAGTTGTATTCGGAAAGGAACCGGGGCAAATTGCATAGAAGGTGCGGAGTGGGACCAAGTTTCAAATTACTATCGACTCATTCCCACCCACGTGAAGACGAGCGAGGCGAAACGGATGAGAATGCAATGGACGGATGGCAAGAAGCTGACGGCGCACATAGATAAGTGCATGTGCCAGTTAACTAGCTCTTTTGCACTTTTCATTAGTATCCAATACTCATCCACATAGGAAATCCGAAAAGCGTAACTATCAGTGTCCGATCTCGTTTGCAAGGCCCGCTGGTGAAGAAAGATAGGCCAGAACCACGATCGGAGGTCTCTGGAAAAACCCTCTTCGAAAGGTTATCAAGCTTGCTTCTACGTGAGAGGAACTTTAGGAAGAAAGAAGTTGATATCTCCCGACAGAGAAATAGAATCAGCTTCGGACAGCTCGTCCAAATGTCCCATCAATGCAGTTTTTTCGTAACATTCTCGTCCAACCCCTACCTTTACTTCCTTTTTGAGACTCATACTTTCTGAGTGTGTCGATTTTCGCGTTTTCTTCACCTCAATCACGAAATCGTTCGCATCTTGGCGGATGAAAGAACAGATGACAAGATCTTTCGTTGACTCTTTGGTTGACACTAACTGTATGGTCACCCTTCGTCATAGAAACAGGCTCGGTCGATCGAGAATCGCATAAACAGGATTTACTGTAACTCCTTAGTTACAGCATTGATATTCCTAAGTGATTCTCAACTTGGTCGTTCCCTCTTCTGCTGAGAGCCTACGTCATTAATCTTCTAGCCCTCTCCGGACATCAATAGTCACAAATAAATCTCCCACAATTCATAAAAAAAGATCGAACGAGTGGGATGGCATCGGTTACAGCCGGCAATCGCAGATGATGATGGGACGGAGCTAATACAGTAAGCAAAATATATGATTACGGTAGCCGAAACAGTATATATATTCCGACGCCTGTGTCAGAATTTAAGGGTAAAAGGATATAATTTGTTGAACCACAAAAAAATTTAGACTAGCAGCCACAAAAGATACAATTATTTCTCTGCTTATACAGCAATTAAAATTGAATTACAACAATAACCAAAAAAAATAAAATACCATGATAATAGTTATTGTGAGTATCGCAGTATTGCCATTGTTATTAGGAATCTCTTTTTGTCCTACTTTTCACAAAAATATTACTCAAGTAAATGGAAAGTCGTGTCAATAGGAAGTCTTAAAAGCGCCTAAATCTAAAAGGCTATCCCCCGCGAAGGGCGGTGTAGGCGAACCAAGTGGTCTCATGAATTAAAAGGAAAGCCGATGTGAAATAATTTATGATATCACATGACATAGACGTCACAGAACGTTTGAGATAATTTCGGAAAGCTCGGATTAGGACGTCCAAGTGGTCTCTAATGTTCTGTCGGTAAGGAGGCTCGGTATAGCTCGGTATACGTGGAAACAGCAAGTCTACAAGGTGGTTGGCTGAATACTCCACTATTTCTTTTCTTAATAGAGCGAATGTGGTGTAGGTGAGAGATGCGCACTATCATAAACGCATGGTCACGGGTTCAAATCCCGCATCGATATCCATCTAGGGCAACGAAGCTTTCAATCTATACGAGGTCGATTAATTACTACTATACGATTAATTACGATACTTGTCTGGGAGGTTAAAAGCACCGACTTGCACATCGGCTGGCCACCGCATGTCATTGCATAGGCTACATATGTACGTATTCAAAACGCCACTATCATTCTGAATGGAAGTCGAATGTAGGGCGGATTCCGAAAGAAATTTGATTGGAGCTAAACTCCTTGTACTGTCATCTTTCGGTTAATGGCTCAACATCGTTTCTCTTATACCATTGCACAAAAATGCACGAAACAACGGAATACGGGCAGGATATAAAATCGAACCTTTCGATCGAAAAAAAAAGTTTCAGGAACATACGGAGGATTTTATTTTGGCAGTTTTTTTACATAAATCGATTATTTCCTTGCGATGCGAGAATCTTGTTCTCTTCACTGATGGTAATCAGACGAAGAGGGCCCTTTCCATAAAATCCTGCTCAACAGAAAGAAATGCAAAAGGGTGACGATACGTGTGTCTGCTTTCAGTCAAACCAAACATTTGTACTTGTCATTTTGACAGCGACAATTTCCAGTCACGCTAGAAAGGCATATAGAATGGCAGAAAACCAACCAAAATTAACAGAACGCATGCCCACCGAAATACTCTTCATAGGAAGTCTCGGAAACGCTATGGCTGTTACTTTGAAGATAAATCAAAAAGTACTCCAAATAACTTTCGTAAAAATACAGTACGAAAATCATAATACTGATCACGAATAGTGACATAGGCCTTCTTGACTTTTTCAAATTCACCCAAACCTGACATCAGAAGAAGAAACTGGGTGGGAAAACTCTCTTTAGACAGAGCTAATTGAGTAGTTTCCTCTGGGCTAAATAGAGTTTTGGAGATTTATCGCAGACTTGAAATATACTGCATCGAAAAAGAGTTCAACTTTAGTTCTTGGGTCATGTAAAGCTAAGGCACAAAACCCTTAACTTCCCAAGGTTCTCTTTAGAACATAGAATGCAAAGGTTCTGGGCTTTCAGAATATTGATTTGATTTCCAGTTCCTACCGGGAAGGCTATATATCGATATATATCGATGCCCGCCTAGGCCAACCAAGCCTTCCATCCC